AAGATGGTGATGAAGATGGTGGTGATGAAGATGAGGACAGAGATGATGATGAAGATTATGATAAAGATGATGATGAAGATGATGATGAAAATGATGATGAAGATGATGACAGAGATGGTGACAGAGATGATGATGAAGATGACGATGAAGAGCGATTTTTTGTTGCATATGAGAAGGGAACAATTCAAATGGATGGTCTCTGACTTTGCTGATAACTTGACCACTTATGTGTGTGTGAGTGTATGTATGTGTGCGTGTGCGCGTGTGTGTGTTGGTACAATTGTGAGTACGTGTATGTTTTATATTATATATATATATAGATTGTATATATATATATCTAGAAGTAAATGTCTGTGTGTATATGTTTATTTGTGTGCGTGCGTATGTGTGGGCTTTGTTATAAACGTTTCAAGTACTTTATTTGCCTTATTATATGCTTGCTTGAGTTAATTTTTGGGTATGTAGTTATTGTATTTATGAATATATGTGTTTAGTTATGTATATATATATATATATATATATATAGAGAGAGAGAGAGAGAGGGAGAAAGAGAGAGAGAGAAAGAGGAAAATAAGAGAGAGAAAGAGAGAGAAAGAGAGAGAGAGAGAGAGCCAACAGGTCGATGGACTCCCCATACGGAGTAATTTTTTCCAATTTTGACATGTGCCACTGTGGAAAAAAACTTCCATAACCAGCCCTGGATTGAAATAAAAAACTAAACTTAACCTCCATACATGATGGGGATTGGATACATGCCTGAACGTACGCACATGCACGCACATATATGCATATACAGTTGAACAGTTTTTAAAAAATTCAAGTGAGGAAAATTGAAGAAACAAACTTTAGATTGATTACTGCCAACAATTCGGTAGAATTCATACAATACTATGTATAGTATGGTCTCTTTCCATTATTATTTATTATTAATTGTACATTTGCCTTTTACCATTAACGATGTATCTTTCGAGATGAATGTTTAATTTTAATTAAATGTTTTTAATTGAAACATTTAATAAACAAACAAACAAACGAATAACCAAACAAACAAACACGCAATTAAACAAACAACTGACTAAACAACAACCAACGGAGTTTAGATTGATTGATTGATTTATGGGATTATTCAAGCGATTCAACCGTATGAACTATCAGACGAGAAATGCATACACACACACACAAATATACAAAAAAATATAGAAACAACTAAAAACACACACATACAAACGCATTCACTTTATTACTTATGACACATTCTTACAAAAATAAAAATTCAATACAAGCAAAAACTTAACATCAAAAACTTTGCTCCGCACACACACACACCACATCACACACATCACACACACACACCACATCACACACACCACACACACCACATCACACACCACATAACACATACACAAACACACACATTCAAACAAACATCTACATACAAACATATATAATTTATTATACATTCAAACAGGTCTGGCTGGTTTAAGCAACTTGTGGTGAGTTATTACTGACCGAATGGAGTGAATAAGCAGATGATTGAGTGACTGATTGAATAAACGAATGAACGAACGAACGAATGAATGAATGAATGAATGAACGAACGAACGAGTGAAAGAACGAATGAATGAATGAATGGAGCAACGAGTGAGAGAGCAAAATAATAATTAAAGGAATAAGTTGTAAGTAATTAAATGAAT